TCCCCCCCGCCCTCAGGTATCGCCGCTTCCTCCCGGCGCTCCTGAGGCGAGAAGTAAAGTGAGGGAGGAGAGGGGCCAAAAATGTGGTGACCCTCCGTTAAGGGTGAGGGAACACCCGAGGTTGGTAAATGCTCGGGAGTCAGAGGGGCCGCGAGCGGTCAAAGTTTTATCAGTAAGCTACACATTTGGCATGGAAATTGGTACGCTGGTCCATGACCTACTATGAGTACAGTGGGTTCTGGATAAAGCAGTAGCCAGTGGGTTTTGGATGAAGGGATAGGGGAAAAGGGAAGAGAGAGAAAGAGATTAATTAAAGAGGAAGAAAAAGAGAGATACAGAGAAAGAGAGGAAAAAAGAGAGATCGCCGGTTCTGGTTCCAGCCTCAGTCCAGCTGAGGGAATGTCAGTCCTGGTTCCAAGGAGTCGATCCCAGCTGTGACCACCCAATCCAAGGTCCACGTGGGCTCAGTCACCCCCAAGGGCAACGCCTGTCCCTGAGGGCCACCCCCCTCCACTCCCCACACCCCAGGCACAAGGAAAACTTTGTAAAGGAACAGGACATTTAAAGGAGGACACCGAAGTCAAGGCCGGGAGGGCCCAGAGGCATTATCTGTCCTCGTCCTTCAGTGGGAACACACGGGTTGTTCAACAAGTGCTTCTCCCCCCGGCACCCAGGCTCAGCACAAATGTGTGTCCTACCCCCTGAGGTTCTTCCAAAGGGGAGCCAGGGTAGGTATTTTTACAGGGAAGTAAAAATGGAGTGTCCCCCAATTTGTCTCGTCCCCCAAGAAGTCGTGTTTTGTGTCAAAGGGGTGTTCTGTAATTCATCACTCCTCTCATTCCTGACAAATGTTACTGTGGGGAGTGGGAGCTCAGCTCACCGGTTTGGGGGAGTTGAGAAGGGGCCTGGCTGGAAAGCTCTCCTTTTAGTCCCAGCTGTGCTCCACAGAAACAAAAACTGGGACAAAAGCTGCTCCAGAGGGCCGAAAATGGGACAAAGGCTGGGGTTTGTACCTTGCTTTCTCTCTCTCCCGACAGACACAGGCTCCTGATGGAGGGTGAGTCACAGAACACGTCACCAGAAAACAAACTCTAGTAACCTCCTGTGAGCTGCATTTCACACTGCAAATAGGCAAGTTTTCCCAAAGCCAGAACTTATCCACTAATCTCTTACTGGCAGGTACACATCTCTCCTCCTCCTCCTCACGACATCAGGGCTGTGCTATGCACGATATGTCCCCAGGAGCACCTTGAAAGGTCACTCCAAAACAAAGTACAAAGTTACAATAGGGTAATAAAACATTTCTGTCACTTTTCACCTATCAGACCTGTTACTAAAATTTATTTTGACCAACACACACCCCAGGCACACATTGTAGCTGCTGAAACTTTCAGAAATTGTTTTAAATATCTGTGGGGCCTCTTGAGCAGAGCCACTGAGTGAAAAAGTCTGAAACAGATTTATTTTGCAATGTGTGTTCACACTATTATGCCATCACTCATCTTTCGTGCTGCTTAATAAGAAAACTTGTAAAAATTAAAAGAAAAAAACGAAAAGCCTTATCATTGCTGAAATGCAATGGGTGAGAGCAGCAGGAATTTTCACATAAACTCATCCCTATTTTTAATAAGTCAACTTTAGCACAGTGCTGCTTAGAGATACTTTCAGGTCAGGCTGTGTGTGATCTGTGGTGCCCTCATGCCAAAAATGCTGTGCCAGCTATTTCCAATGAAGTTGTGGGGGCAGCACTGGATGGGCGAGCAAGTGTAAACAAAATAAAAATGAAACCCCAACAAAATACTCAATGCACAATGTACAAAAATATCTTAAGGTTCAATAACTTCTTGTTGAAACTTTCATCCAATTAGTAACAGCCTGAGTCTGGGTGGTAGGAAAATGAGAATTCTTTAATAGAAAGAAAAGTGCAGCTAACCTCCAGAACAAGTTTGCTTTGCTTATTTTGCCCTGAAGAGGTTATACAGAGGTGCCACCAGATTTTATTGGCAGCTCTTGACATATCTCAGTCCAAAGCAGAGCAATGTGACAAGCACAGAGCTCCCTCTCTGGTCTCTGGGTTTTTCCCTTGCAGAGTTTTTTCACAGCCTTCCTTCCTTCCCTTCTCTTTAGAGGCTTTTTACCTGCAGCTCACCGAAAAACAAAGTGGCTGCTCTCGTTACCTTCCTTCCCATTATTTACAAGCAACTGGGAGAAGGCACTGCCACCTCTGCTTCCTGCCACTCACGCCCATCATCTGCTATTGTCTTTCCCACTCTAAATTGCGGCATTGTTTCATCAGCGGCATCGTTTACCCTGCTTGTCACCACGGTGTATGTAATCCTGATTTTCTGGAGTGTTGTACACTAATCTTCTGGTTGCATTGCTCAATGATTGCCCAACCACAGCTGTTCCTGAGCACTCCTGGCTGAATCACCGCGTGGTCCTTCCCATTGTTGACGTGGGAACCTTGGCACTGACACCCCAATTTCTTGCCTCAGCTCCACTGGCTTTCACCTTCCCAGCACTAGGCAGCAACTTCACTTTAGCATCCCTCCTTCTTTCCCTCTCCTTTCCCTCTCCTTGAGGGTCCCTTCCAACTCAGGACATTCTATGTTTCCTTATTTCCTTCCCTTTATTTCCATGCTGGGTCCTGCTCCTTCCTGCCACTTTTGGCACTGTTGTAAAATAGATGTGATGAATGCTGCCTACTTTTAATTCTGTGTAGCTCTAATTTATTTTCTATTTTATGAATTTTGGTATCAGTCAGTCTAGGGAGCGAGCAGCTGTGGCTCTGATGCCCACATTCATTGACCAGAATGATTAATTCCTTTAAAACTTTTATCTTAGCTTTAAAGCCAGTCACTTGATAGCCTCAATGGCTTTCATGTGAGCAGATCCTACAATTAACTGTTTAAAAGTGTGGTTTAGAATTTCCCAATATGCAGGCACAATGGGAACATCCTGATAGACAAATGAAGGAGCTCCCTCAGGTGGTGAAAAATAGTCTTACCTGTTCCGCTTAAATGTTTTCCTTTTAAAAACATTAAAAGGCCAGCAATATCAGATTTAGAATGTAAAGCCAGTTATAAATATAGCATTGAACGAGTTTCCATTTCGACATAACCAGAAATAATGGTGTGAATATAAGACTGAGGCCAGAACTCACTCAGGCAAATGCTGCAGTTAAAAAGGAAATAATATAAGAAACTGTGGAGGACTTAAGCCTGATCTGATAATGCATGACTGAATTTTGGCAGGAAAGCAAAAAACTAGCTCCAGAAGATATCACATTGTTGAGGATGCCTGAAGTGTTTACAAATCACAAAGTTTGCTTTTTAAAAACTCCGGCTCAAGCTTTCACAGTTTCTGCTATCATCATGTCAAGATTTTGTGCATAAATACCCTTGCTCCTTTTTACTCTACGTGAGGCATAGAGTTTTCAAAATATTTGGTGTGAGAGATTCAGATCAGCAAACTTTGGAGAAAAGGCAGAAGCAGCAGCAGTTACACTCACTTTCCAAGCCATGAAGCCACTGGTTTTGCTGGCAGATGAGTTATAAAGAAATGCCCCCATCCTTCTCAGCAGAGGGCAGTGGTAACCTTACTCAGAATCACATTGCTTTTTGCTACTGAACTGAAATCATCCTTGGGGGAAAAAAAAAAAAAAAAAAAGTGAAACCCTAATGCAAACCAGTGAGTACCTGGCTTCCTGTCCCAGCTCAGAAATTCTAGTGATGAACTTGCCATGGCAAAGCAGGAGGTGCAACAGCCAATTTAATTACTGTGATTCCATTGTTGAAAGGGAAACCTGCATTATTTCTTTGAGAAGTAATTAATTTTGCCTTTCCCTACCATTTTAGGTAACAAAATGAATCTTGCCAGCTGGGATGGTGTAATAGTTGGGGTTTTATTTGTTTAAGTTGAGGAGGTTATTTCTTCAGTACGTTTAAAAAGGAGGAGATCCTTCTAGTCTGGCTAAACATCAAACCATGAGAGGTATTGACCCTGTATAAATAATGTCTCACCCCACTAAGCTGAATTGTGTTTTCCAAAGCTGTTCTTTACCTTCTCTGACACAACAGCATTCTCTTTCTTTTAGGCTTGGAAACAACTTCATCTGGGTCCCAACCACATTATATAATATCATGGTTCTTGTGACACCAGCTCAAACCAACCTCAGATTTATTCTGCAGCATACTCTGCTGTTTATTAAAAATTCATGAAAATATTGAACTGCCTCAATGAGAGGGTCTCTGAAGTTGTTTCAGCAGGAATACATGGAATTAAATATGCAATCAACCCTGGAAGGGTGACTTCAGAGAGATACATTCCAGAACAAACAGATCTAGTTACCAGTATTGACTCTCCTGCATATAATGGCTTTCTAAATATTTCTGTGGAAACAGAGCACTGAACTTGGCCAGCATCTCTTTCCCACTCCTACAGTAGCAACTGTACATGTTCCTTGTAACTCCACAGACTGTCAGCTGTGTTACACACCTGGGACCCTTCCTTGTGCAGGTCAGGCAGCAGGTAGAAGGGCAGACATTTTAAACCTAATTTAATGGTGCCTTACTACTCTTGTGGTAATCTCTTCCTCTCCATTTTTTATAAGCATGTGCATCCTTTCTCTTTTTCCTAAATAAATACAAACCAGTTTGCTACTCTCTCCCCATAGATGCTGAGGTGGAGAAAACAGTGTATTGCCAGTATTTTGTACAGATTCCTTGTCTCTCTGCAGTACAAATGTTCTGACTGCTGATGGACACGGATAAGAATTGGTGCTTATGGAGTGACAGATCCAGGATGATTCCCAAGACAGCTGTTTGCAGGTAATTACGCAGTTCTACCTGTTCTGTACTTTGCAAAGTGCAAGTTCTGGGGACTAATAACTTTCTGTTTGCAGTAATCAAGTGGGAAAGATGTGAGACAAAAGCCACTGAGGTGCTATAGTGAGACTGGATCAGCCTCTGTAGGGGTGTATGAGATCCTTGGGGTCATCAAGGAGAAACCTTGCAGAGAAATGTCACGTAGGGAATTGCACATGGAGAACACTGTGGAAAAGTCCAAGAGCATTGAAATGGCACTTGAATCATAATGCCAAAAGTGATTGATGAAAGACCCCAAAAAGTATGAGGACAGGGGAAAAAAATAATTCCAATCAAAACCAGGATATATGTCTCAGAGGAGAACAAATATCTCCATTGAGCCACGAAAGATTGACTCTTTGCTGTAAACTAAGAAAGAAAACAGGTTTTTACTCTCAGTATCCGACATTTCCTCTTTTCCACCTTGTTTTAATCTCTGCAAAAATAGATGACATGTACCAAAAGTCATCCCAAGCAGTAGACATTTCTAAATCTGCCCAACCAGCTCTTTGGCTGTCTCCATAGCAATGAGGCAGTGCATCCTGCTGCTCTCCCTTCTGTGAGCTCCTTTCCCAAGTTTGACATGGACTGACAACGTTGTGCCTTTGTAGCTCCTCTGCCAAAAACCTCCCTTTTCTCTGCTCAAGGCCAGTCCCATCTGTTCCTTCCTGCTTCTCCCCAGTTTTAGAAACACCTGGCTAGAGGAGGAATCCATCCAATGCTTCTCTGCTGCAATGATTCAAGCCAAGGAGGGACTCCTGCTGGGTGTACAAGTGGAGGGACTGGAGAGGGCAGTGCTTTCCTGTTTGGGTAGAACTTTTGGATGATGGTAAGGGAGAACACTGCAGGGGCCAGGAGCATAAACAAAGCAGAAGGAAGGAAAATCCAGAATTCTGTCTAGTGTCCCAAAAGAATTGCCCTGAAACTTGGCACCGCTGGCCATAGCAACAAATAGAGCAGTAAAGAATGTACAGACTTGGTACAATGCAGTGCTTATTGAAGGAGATGACAAGCGTGAAGGAACACTTCCAAACCTCTGAATTCAGATAGATCTGTGTCACAGCTGAGTTTCTGGCAGCTCTCAACAGCATTTCGCTGAAAGTGGAGAAAATAGAGGTTACAAAGCTGAAAGAGGCATTTTTGCTATCAGCTGAGGACTGGCAGAAATGGGAGGTTCTGATGGAGCTACACCGGGAGGTGAAGCAATCTGCAGGGTTTGCTGCAGTTGATCTGCCTTGGGCTGAGTTGATGTGGTTACAAAAACATCTTTGTGCTCAGCACTATTCCGTTGTTGGCCTAGTGCCTTGAGGCTTACATGCTTTGGAAATATGGATGAGGAGATGAAAACTTGAGCTTGTTTAAAGGATTTAAATCTGAAGATGGCAGGCCCAGGAGAGGGATTCTGAGTTCAGGCATGTAGGTCATGCAAGAGAGGTCTTGTCTTCACCAGCAAGTTAATGTGAAATATAGTAAAAGTGTTCCTGTTAGTTCAACCCTTGCCCACACAAAAAAATCCCTCACTGCAAAAAGTGGCTGCAGAAACATAAATTGACAAAGCAACAAGAGAACAAGGTAAACCTTGAGTGAATTCACTTTACCATTCCTTTACCACTGCTGTTTCTCTACAGTAGGGACCCACACTAAAGACCACCATCAAAACATCCAGCAGTGCTGACTCCCCGCAGTTTTTCCACTTGTGCTTTCCTTAGTGGCTTCTAACTCTGCTTTATATTTGTGAGCTTATTTCCCCAGCTGCAAAAGGTTTCCAGTGCCCTCAGTACCAATCACCCATCTTCAGCACAGAAGTCTTCAGTTTATTATTCTGCAACTGTGTCTAGCAAGACCTCAGTTTCCTGTTGCCTGCTGATCAGACACCAAGTTATGGAAGAATCTCTGGCATGATGCTACTGTAGTCTATGATTTTCAGAGGAAGGATCCAGGCTGAAAGCTTTCTGGTGACATTCCAAGTAAGCTGTCATGAGAAGAGAATCCAACACCCAAGACCTCAGTGCTTAGGGAAAATCAGAGGGTTTCATCTACTCAGAAGAAAAGAGTAGAACTATAAATGCTAACTCAGTAAGTCCCCAGGAATGAGCATGTGCCATGCTGAGACTGAATGCATCATTAGCAATTCCCTGGGGCCGGATGTCTATTTCAGACTGCACAGTGTAACAGCTCCAGGGAACGTACAGCCAGAGGATGCTGATAATTTCACAGTTTCTGCTTCCCTGTGAGGCAGAAAATAGAAGTGCTCTGAAGCTCTTTCCCAGGAACACAGAAGTAACGTTTTCCAAAGCCATCAAAAGGAGAGGAAGATAGGTGTGTTCTCTGCAATCTGGGAGAAAGGGAAACAGAATAATCTGCTGCTCTGGCTGCTAAAGGAGGCTTTTGGCTGATCAGCAAGCTGTGTGGACTGAAGCTATGGAACTGGTCCCTTGCAGAAAAGATTTTGTGGAGGCATATGAGGTTGAGATGGATATCTCAGAAGCACGTAGGGTCCACAGTGGGTTCGCACCACACTAGTGCCTCCCCTTGCAGCACAGATTAAAATGCTCCTAGTACATCCACACTTTATCACAGGCAACCCATGGGAAAAACTTCCAGGACAGATGACTCAAGGTAATTTGGTAGTGTGACTGCATCCTCAGAAAGAGCAGACAAAAAGGGAAAGGCAGACAGCCAGGCGGTCTCTAGCACACTGAGGTCAAATTCCCCTTTCTGTCACTCTCGGCTATGGGAAAGTTGAGGACGACAGAGAGGTACCAGACACACTCCCGTGTCTGCTGGCAGAGATGGGCGAGGCCCCAGGCAGACTGAAACACATGCTCCTGTGAGCACAACCATGCAATCTCTGCCATCAGAAAGATGATGCCCGGGTTTCAGGGATGCTCCTGAATGTCTCAACTTCTCTGCATAGTTCGGATTGCACAGTAAATGCCTCGGCTGCATGAGATGTGCTGTTGGCTCTGGGGAGGCATTATTTCAGGTTGGCTGCAGCTGGGAGTGTGTAGCATGACTTCAGACCTCATTAGATGCACACTTGACAAGTTTTCTGCACTAACATAAAGGGAAGAAAGGTTTTCTTAACCAAACAAGGCTTATACAGTTGTCCTATGTGTATGAGGAAGGGCGTGTCTGTCTCTCTGCCCCAGCTGTCTTTTTTCTCCCAGTAACTTTTGAACTTCTTGGCCACTTTTATACAAATCAGATGGAGAGATGAAGGTTTAAGAAATATTCAGCTCCAATGGCTTTTGTAAAAAATTCAGCCTGGTTAGAGGACACAGTTTTAATTAATGCCCTGAATGGAGGAAACTTTTTTTGGAATAAGAATTTAAGTTGGCAGCAATGTCTAGTCCAGTCTCCTGCTGAAAGCACAGCCAGCTTCAAAGTCAGAGGCTGCTCAGGACCTCATTTTGAAAACCTTTGAGGTGTCAGGAATCTACTCTGGACCTCAGCTTCACAAAACAAATATACTGAGCGCAACACCTTTGGCTCTGCCGATCAGAGAATTCATTTCCCCCTCTTTTAAAGGAGGAATAGAAGTGGCAGCCCATGGTAAAGCCTGTGACAATCTCCACACCAGGCAGTCCATAGGGCTCTGCTTATGTTAAATATATTTAACCAGCAGCTAGTTACTTTATTTTGGCATTCTTTGGTAGTTAATGATTCCAAGTACAAAGGTCAGAGACACAAGGCTTTGTGTATCCCATTGTTTAATTTACCAGAAGCTACAAGGGAAGGAGTGCTTCTCTGTATGAGTGGGAGCTACAAGCTACACATCCAGCCTGACAAGCTAATGAGAACAAGTCATTCATTAACAGGAGACTTGCTGCTAGGCAAACACACAGCTGGTATGGGAGAAGAATTTGGATGTGAAATGAGACAGTGTAGTTCGTTTTTTATAAGACATTTCCTATTTCAGCAAGTTTACAGTCTAAATAAAGACCACACAGAACACATTAAGAGCCTGATCAGAAGAAGATTTGGGCTTAATGTCTTTTCTGAAAAGTTTGGTAATGAGCAGAGAGGCAGAATTTGCAAAGAGAATGGAAATATTTGCATGTTTAACAGAAGGAACAAGTTTTAGATTTAAGTGAGATTTCATTATAAACGTAAATGCTGCTCTCTTGAGTACCAGTTTATTCTGTACACACACACACACAAATGCATTCACAGAAACATCTTACAAAACTCTGGTGCTTTCTCCTGCTTCAGTTGTTACTATTGCATTTTTTTTTCTAGAGTTTCACACTAGTAAGCATTTTTACAGGATTAACATTAAAGTTGGAAACTGCAAAGCATGGCTATTTAATAACTGTTTGAGGAAGGAACACAGTGTCATTTGAAAGATAAAGTAAGCACTTACAGTTCTTGCATAATCAAATAAAAAAGCCTGTCAAGGAAGAATCTCTCCAGACTTTGTGGAATGAAACAGTAACAGCATTTTAGAACAAACTCTGACTTTCAAAGTGATTTAAGTGTTTAGAAACATTGCATAGAGCATGACACCATCCATGGCCAGGGCACAAGTGGTCCAGAGCAAGGCTGGATCTCTACCATCTGAAACATGTAACACAGAGCAGCAAACCTGCAAGAAGCTGTATCCTCAGGCTTCCTTATGAGATCAAAGGTTATATTCAGAAGTGTGTACAACTGAAAACAATACTAGGAGTGCAGTCACTGTGGGATTCATTATTGTAATAAAGCATCTTCTGAAGACACGGATTTCAGCGTGACTTAGGAAAGGGAAGTGAAGGTGCTGGGGAAGATGGAAGGGAAGGAGATATGAGGGGAGAAACAAGAAGCAAAGAACATGGAGAAGAAGCACTGCTGATTCCAGAGTCTAATGATTTTTTTTCCAGCCTAAATGGCTCTATGATTCTAATTTAATCTTCTTTTAGCTTCACATCTTGTTTTTAGTGTATCTTTATTTTGTTTTGGACTGTCACAGAGGTTATGCTAATCCAAACACAGCACAGCAGTCATCAGAGAAATCTATGCTGGGACGAGGCTGCTCTCTGAGGCACTGGTGGAGGAACTGCAGCACAGCATTGTGCTCTGAAGCATTTGCTATCACTTAACTAAATGTCAGCTCTCTGGATACAAACCTCTCAGCGAGAGGAAAGAGAAAACACATGAAGAAAAGCTTCCATCTGCAAATTGAGAGACACCCCTCCTTACTGTCCAAATTAGCTACTAAGATTTTAAATTAGGAATCATAAAATTTAGGCTCCTAAACATAGATTAAGGCAACCCTGGAACTCTGGTGGCAAAACATTCCTATTGACCCACCTGCAGCTGAATGCCTAAAAGCCTGAATCATCACCAGCGCTGTCGAGGGACCTCATATTACCTCAGCAAATGTACTTTATCAGTGATCATTGTGCAAGCTTAGTACTAATTTGCAATTCCCAGCAGATGCAGAGACTTGTCATCATTTTTGTTTGGTAGAGGCAACATTTTCCACAGAAAAAGGCAAACAAACAACTTTCTTAATGTTCTTATTAGCATACTCTTCTACAGCCTTTGGTGCCTGGAACAGATGCTTGGGAAGGGCGGTGCAGCTGTAATACTTAGAAAAATATATTGGACAAGAGAGAAATTCCCGAAGAAGTCCTATAATCTCCTTAATTCCATCTCTCCCCAACTCTGGCTCCACTCTGCTGGAGGCTGTGCGAGGTTATGTGTTATACCCTGATGGGTACAGCTCCTGCAAAACCTCAGTGCTGTTATTGTGCTGCTGTTGACAGTTGACAGATACATGCACAGGCTACACAGTTCTGATCCGTGAGGGTGCTTAGTTACCCAGCATACCTAACCCCAAAACACAGGGCCAAATAAAAGAAGAATGGGGATGCCTGAGATGCTGTGGTGAGCTGGCTGTCTCTACACACTCATCTTTTCCACTACAACACCGTGTGCCCAGTCCCTTTCCCCGCTGTGCATGGAGCCCTTCCTTTGCTGGCTCTCCTGGCCAGCATCAATTTTTAGACTTATGGCAGTGTCAGAAGAGTGAGGACAATGCTGAAGCAGCAGAAAAGACAGAACAAAACGCTGCTTGCACAGAGGAGGAGGATGATTTGGGTGGTGGGATGCAATATTTGTGGGAGTGTGTATCTGTAGTTTTCTTCTTATCTATGGTGGACGAGAGAAGAGTTTTTGACAGAGGAAATTTCATCTGCCAAGGGCTGCATGTGAACCCTTCTGTGCTGTTGGGCAAAAACTGTTACTTCCCCAGAAAGCTTTTATCTTCATAGGCTCTCACTGAACAGGCATGAGAGTACCCCATGCTATCCTACACGTATTGTACATAAATTCTAATTTAAATCATAGTAATGATTCAAAATAACTTTTAAGACAACGCTGAAACCCTACCTATTGTGCCATGACAGATCAGTGCAGACATTTTAGGAACTGTCAGTCAGAGATGAAAGGGTGAGCGTTTGAACATGTTACACCAAGAAACAGCGTCCTCCTTTGATACAGCTCAGCACTTACAAGCTTGCAACATTTACTGCGGAGTAACTAACCTTGAGTCACAGAGCCTTTATCAGATTCTTAAATCTTTCTTTTTTGTGTTAAAAGCCTTTCTCCAGAACCCCATGGTGGCTGAACCCCAGAAGCCAGGTGGCTGCCTGCTATCAGGTGGGTGCAGGCCAGAGTGGTAGAGGGACACAAAGCTGCACATCCCTGTGCCATGCAGTGGGCAGTACCCATTGCCCTGCAGACATCCCAGGGGGAGCTGCAGCTGTCCTGAGCTCCACAACTTGTTGTGGCACTGCAATACAGGCACAAAAATCCTGACATGCTGTACACAGGTATCCCTCAATCAGGCCTCTACTGTTCTACACTCTTAGCAAACACCTTAACCAATACATCTGCGGCCTGAATACCAGTCAAATATTTCACACACATCTATTTCTCTGTACAGCTTTGGTATACAGAAGGTATGTGATCTGAAAGAAAAGATTACTTCTAGAATTAATTTTTAAGCTGCCACCGACATCCTGCTAGCTAATTTTTCCTAAGTTACAAATAGAAACTGCCCAGTTAACTCAACCAAGAGTCTCCAATTTGTCCACAGGCTCCTTCTGGCACAGAACCCATACTTCAGGCAGATGACAGTGAGACTGTCATGCACAGTATGATGTAAGACTGCTCAGCCAGCAATTTTTTGAGTGTGTGATTTTTTGGAGCACACTGTGAAGCAAATGCATTGTCAATGCTTACAAGAAGCTTCAAGAAATGGATATACCATTAATATTTAAAGTCAGTTCAGAAGGACCACATTTCTTGTCAGGCACATGACTGTAGCCTCAGTACTGCTTTGATCCTTTTTATCCCTTACTTGAACAGCTCATGAATGGCAGATTGACTGGAAACCCAAAATCACCAGGTACTGATGCCTCATTAACGCATGGTTCCAGAACTCTTCACAAGAAATTACCCTTGAAAAACAACCTGTTCCCGATGCTTCATGAGGCTGCTAACATCACATCTGATAAAAATAGCTAGCATTAGTGCAGGTTTTACCTCTTGGCTTTGCATGGTTAATAACCATGACACTCTGTAAGGTAAATACTTATTAGCCTCCATTTTAACAACAAGAAATGGTGTGGCTCAGTGTCATCAGTAACTCAGCAGCACAGAGTCCTTTTCAGTTTGGGGAGTTTCTTGTTTATATCCCCAGTGCTGTTCTAGCAGGGACTAGAAGAGCTGTCACCAGCCAGAGCATCCCCTATTTATATAATGCCATAAAAACAATGTTGCTGAGGGGACCAAGTGGGGCACAATCTGAAGGTCTGGCTTGTTTAGCACATATCAAGTAATGGCTGGGGCTCTGGGTTTGCTTTTTTTACAGGGTACAGCATGATCTTTAAAATCTATTATACAACAGCAAAAACCCCATGCTGCTGCCCTCTTCTCCTTGCAACAGGCCTTCTTAGAAAGCCCCTGCCTCACCCCATTCCTAGGAAGGATGGTTTTGTGTGTCAGACAAGTTTCCTGCAGTTGGACATTAATATAACCTGCAGTGAGCTGTTCTATGTGCAGAAGGTGCTGGGAGAGAAAATGAGAGATTTCATGAGATCTAAGGAATAAGAACAGTGTTTAAGTCTAATTCTCCTTGGTACACTTGCATATAACAGTCTCTTGACACTTGTATCTTCTTTTAAAATACTAATAGCCTTCCTCTGGATAGTTGTTCATGATCAGCAAGTAAAAAGCATTAGGAAAGAAAAACAGTATTTCTGTTGGTTTTTTAAAGAGTGGCTCTCTGCAACGTGGCAACTGCAAATGGCACGAGGGAGTTCTGTGTTTGTTGTCTCTACAGTCTCCAGAGAACATATATTTTGTTTACAAGGCAAACCATTTATAAATGCCAAATCCTGCAAATTCTATCTGGAACGAGACCAGGAAATAGCTCCACTGCAGAGTTTACCATGGGCTGGTTCTGCCCGAGACTGTCCATTCTGCAGGAGCACCCTCTGCTCATATCCACATAACCATGCCTGTACAAGGTCCTGCACTTGGCACCACGTACCCCATGCTGCACCCTGGATGTTCCCAGCACTATTTGAAGAACTGTTTTTTTGTGTGTTTTTAGCAGGTCTGTTTGTAATTTCTGATCTCTCAAATGTTCTTAGTCCATTAATTTAGTGAATTAAGGCATTTCTGGCTCCACGTGCTCCTCACTCCCATTTACTCCATCCAGCCTGTGTCAGAGTACACATCAGTCCAGTGGGATGAGCCACTCCTATTTTAGGCAGAATTATTACTGCAGCAGGGCTCAGTTTGAGTACATGCACCAGTATGGACAGCACCTTGTGATCCTGGGCAGATAGAACATCAGCTTAGAATTCCTGTCACACAGAGCTGGCTTTCACACAGCTCTGAGAGAATGTCTCCTCACCTTCCCACCACAGGACAGTGACACAGAGGTTGGAAGCTGGTGTTACCAAGCCAGTTTGTCACTGTCACATCAGTTCTCAGTGGTAAAGGCATCTAAGGGGAGCAGCATTGTGGCTCATCGACGATGAGCCAACATTACCAAGACATTGCTGAAGTAGTCCAGCATGGAGAGAAATACTTCCAGCTGCCCAGGTCCTCTAAACCATGACAATCACCCTTCTCTTTTGGGGCGAAACTTCCTGCCTTCTGCTTTGACTGGAGCACCTTATGCTAATATTACAGAAAGTGAAAGAAGTTGGTTTACTAATTAGTTACACAATTGAGTGTATATTCAACCACCCAACAACAAGATGCTACTGCCAACCACTCCTGGTGGTATTCACACAGCAGTGCTTTCCTCCTCCTCCATACCTTTGGCCAGGACAACAGGTCCTGGCAGGAGCCCAAGGAATCAACCTTGGTAACCCATGGAGATCACAGAATCAATTAGGTGGGAAAAAACCCATGAGATCATCGATTTCAACCTAGGACCTGGCACCACCATGTCAACCAGTGAGTGGTGAGTGCCACATCCAGTCTTTCCATAAACACCTCCAGACAGTGACTCCACCACCTCCCTGGGCAGTCCATTCCAATGTCTAACCATCCTTTCTGCAAAGAAATTTGTCCTAATGTCCAACCTGACCTTCCCCTGGCACAGCTTTACGACTGTGTTTTCTTGCCCTGTTCCTGACTGCTGGGGAGAAGAGGCTGACCCTCACCTGGCTACAACAACCTCCTCATGCACAGCTTAGGACAAGCCCACTCTGCTGCTCCCTTCCTCACAACCCTGGCTTTACCCTCATGCCTGCTCAGGTTTGGAGGCAAACCAGTCTGGCTGTAGCCTACAGGGAGAGAGTTGCTCAGGCTGGGGCAGCCTTGAGGCCATGACCATTGCTTGACAGATTTCAAGAAGTATTTGGACACAGTCCAAATACATTGTGTATACAGTATACACATTGTGTATACAGGTATGCAGTGTGGTTTCTGGAGCTGTCCTGGGCAGGGCTGAGAGATGTGGACTTGATGGCTCCCTTCAAACTTAGGAGATTCTGTGATTCTCCTGGGCTGCCACTCATGGCCAAGATGGGAGGCTCTCCTTGGGTGTGATCTGGCGAATCACCCGGGTGGGCTCTTCCCCTCAGCCCATGTCCATGTGCATTCCCTGGTGTGCCCGTCCCCACTGCTGTGCGTGTCTGTGGCAGTGCCAAGAGGATGGTGCCAGACTCTTCAGTGGTGCCCAGAGACAGGACAATGAGCAACGGCCATAAGCCAAAGCACAAGGAATTCCACCTCAACATGGGTACGAACTTCTTTACGTGAGGGTGGAAGAGCAATGGAACAGGCTACCCAGGGAGGGCGTGGAGTCCCCCTCTCTGGAGAAGTTCAAAATGCGCCTGAACGCGTTCCTGTCACCTGCTCCAGGTGACCCTGCCTTGGGCCTGGCTGATCCACAGAGGTCCCTTCCAACCCAAATAATTCTGGGATTCTGCGTGCCGCGGCGGTCCGGGCTGGGGTGGGGGGGCAGCCGCCTTCCCTCTATCCCAGCTTCCCTTCCTCCCTCCCTCCTTTCCTCCCTCGCTCCCTCCCCTCCTCTCCCCTCCCCT